AGTGAAGAATTACTCCAGAAAACTGCAGAACACTTCTCCAGGTCATCCTGAGGTTTCCAAAAAGGGAAAGCAAACAAAGCAAGCCCTGTGAGCCCCAGAAATGCCGTGTGAGCCCTTGGCCATGGCTTGGCAGAAGCCAAGAGACAGAGCTTCCCTGAGCCAAGCAGCCAGCTGCTCACCCGCAGGCAGCAGCGCTTTGGGGCCTCAGCACGACGGCTCAAAGCCCAATTTCCAGCTGCCACGGGATGGGGGAATGGCTGGGTGCTGGCAGGACTCCAGCACTCAGCATCCTCAGCCAGCAACAGCAAGTGCTGGCTGCTCAGAAACTTGCAGCTCTGCCTTGCACTAAAGACAGCAGCACCCAGCACTGGCACTTACTGTCTGGGCATGGTCAGGCTGGGCTGTGACCACAGCTGGAGGCTCGTGCTCCTTTTGCTCATTTTGCTCCTCTTTGGCCTCTTCTCCAGGAGCAGAGGGAGCCACAGCAGAGTCTGCTCTTGCTTCTGGGCTCTGTGGACAGATGGTGGAGTTAGGGACAGGCAGCTCCCTATCATTTAGAACCTTATTTCTCTTCAGCTCGATTTCTACAACCAGCTCTACCAAGCACAAATCATCAGCTTTGATAGCAATGGGATTCTAAGTCTCTCCAACTAAATTAAAATGGGTTAATTCAGCCAGGCTGCAAATAGTTCTGAATTAGAGAGTTTACCCTGGCTACTATCAGCAAGCAACGTTCTCTCTGCAAAGCTGAGCTTTGAGTTCTTTTAAAGCTCTGCAATGGAAAATTAGGAAATAGCCAACAATGCCTTTGCTATTGCTGTTGTAAACATGGAAATGGATCTTCTTTCAGCCCACCCAGCTGTCCCTCTGCACTCTACTGCCACAGGCCAAGCTCACAGTTCCCTGCACAGTTCTGAAACACCAGGAGCATCAAATGTTCCTTTCTGACTCACCTCAGGATCGGCACCTCTGAACACACGGCTCAGATGACCTGCAGTGGGCAAGGAAAAGGAACCAAATTCTTTGAGAAAACTGGAGAGAACCGTGGCCTATTTAGAGCAGCATCTGAGAAGATCTCCCAGTCTGCATTTTCAAAGGTGTCCTGCTTGACTGGTGTGGTTTAAAGCAGCAACTGAAAAAATCACTAGAAAACTTACTTATTTCTTGCTGTGAGATATGGATTAGAACAAGAGCAAAACAGGCTTAAAACTTAAATGGAATAAAGAAAGTTCATTAACAAAAACTACAAGAATAAGAAACGAGAATGAAACTTCCAGAACAACCCTTTTCTCCCCCACTACCCAACCATTCCCTTGTTTACATGACAACATAGAGACAAAAAACTTTGGAACTTTGGTGTTTACAACAGTCCCAATTCCTGCTAGAGCCTTTTCATCAGTCTTTGTAGAGAAACAGAAGTCTTCTTCTGCTATCTATGGAGTTTCTCACAAGAAAACGATTTTTCTTCATAGCTTTCTATTTCTCTGATGCCAGCTGCCCAGGAAATCTGCCATCAGTTATCTCCTCCCATTTCCCATCACTCTGAGGTGTGTTATGGGTCATGAGTCTAGGGATGTCATTTTTATGAATGAGTTATTCAAAGGCAAAAGTTCTCTTTATCTGTTTTTGTGAGCTCTTCTCTGGAAACAGAAGTTTTCTCTTTTTGCTTCTTAAAAGCCACAAATCTTCAACTCTTACTTCTCCCCCTCTGTTCCAGCATCTCACAGTGTCACAACTACTTCATTATTTGCTCAAAATCCACACTTGGAAACACTCCATTCCTCCCAATATACTCTGTCATGAATTAAAGGCGGTTTTTTCAGAACACTACTGTCCATCTCCATAGCTTAACAGAAAAATATTTCAGCTTAATAAAGCATCTCCTTATTTCTCTTCCCCCTCTCAATTTAATTTGTTTCTTCACTCTCTTTGATGGGTTGATGGTTGATCACTCCCTCTCCCTCTCTCTCTGGAAAAAAAGGATTAATCTGCATGTCTCATGCAGGCAGTAAAAGAGTTAAAATCTTGCTAAAGCTGCAGATGTTGATGGTGTCAGGTTTCAGTTCAGTGGCAGAAACTGCAAACCAAGTCAGGCTGGCCGGCTCCGTTTCTCCCCCCACCCCGCCCTCTGCAGCCTTGTCCGGCCTGGAGGGGGGGAGGAGGCCGAGACAGAGCCCTGTGACCTCGTCAGAAGCCAGAAACCAAAGAGAGCAAGAAATTCCCGGCCTCACATCTTCAGGTGGTGTTCACAGGTTGATCTCACTTCTCAATAGTTAAAACCGCTGCCAATTCTCACCCATGGCCAGGAATTAGTCAGGAGAAAAAACTCCCATCAGCCTCCAGCAGTTTCAACTTCCCCAGCTCTCAGAGCTATCTTAAAAGTAAAGTCACCCCAAGAGATTGAGCCAGCAAAGTGAGGAAATGACAGACTCTGCTGCCACAGGCTCTCCCGTGGAGGGAACAGAAGCCCTGCAAATGCTGCCCGCAGCCCCCTGGCTACAGACACCCCGTGTTTTGCTGAAGGTGTTGACAGGAGCTTTACCAAACCAGGGGCATCCTCATGGTCTTTGTGTTTCAATAGCAACCCGGTCACTAAGAAAGAGCAGGGAGACCTACAAAAGCCAGCTCAGGTTCCAGCCAGGGAAAACCTCTACTTACGTGCCAGGTTGGTGAGGTAATAGCCGGCATAGCCAATGCCATAAATGGTGCAAACTGCAACAGCGAGCTGCTCCATCACTGTAGCACTGCTGTGCCAGTTTGCACACTCTGCTCCACCACAAAAACAAACAAGGCTCCTGTCAGTGTGCAGCTGCCCACTGACAAACGCCTCAAGCAGGAGGATGCTCCTGCACTGAGCAAGCCCAAGAGCTGCTCTGACCCTGAGGCCTTCCGTGCACCAAGGCAACCTTGGGATGTCACCACGACAAGGTGGCATCCATGCCCTGACATCACAAAGCCAATGCTCTGCGCTGCTCTGGGAACTGATGCAGAGCAACCCAACCTTCCCTACAGCAAACACAAAATTGCCTGGGAGCTTCTCCTCTGTCACAAAGTGTCACAAATCCTTTGCTGGGCTGTGGGAAATGGAAAGACAGAAACTTCCACAGATACTGAAGGGTTTCATTTACAGCCTTGGAAGGGGCTTGGGTTCATGCAATGCTAAAGGTTCACAGACGTTGAGTCGAGAATTCATAAGCTTATGTTCCTATAGCTTCAAGTAAGAATATGCCATAAGTAAATAAGAAACTGCATTGAGTGAGATGGTGGAGAGATTTCAACTGTAATTGTGTGATTTTATAGAGTAAGCTATGAATCTAAATATTATCCTAAGAAGCACATGTGTGTAGGTGAGCTAGCAGTGTATTGGGTGAAAAGCAGACACAGTGCAGCAGAACTTGGCAAAGGTGAAAGGTGATTAAGTAATAATAAACTCCATGTCAGCTGTCCATTGGGCCAAAATGTGATATATTGCTGTGTAACAAAGAAACTCGTGACTACCTTTGAGCTATGGCCCACTTGTTACCCCTCCAAAATCTCATGCCTTCAGACTGAGACCTTTTCTGATATATTTCAGCAATAAATCGACTTCACAGCACCAGTGGTCCCACCCGTCATTATTTACAGCCTGACAATGAGCCAAACCCTGTTGTTCAAGAGATCCAAGAGTAACTCCAAGACTGCCCTGTGGAGAGAGAAAACAAAGAGAACTTGTCCTAAGAGAACAAAGATTGCTCCTCAGTCAAGGCAGGATGGATGGAACAGAGTTTCTAAAATGAAACAAGTAGCAGAAGCAGAGTAGTTTGCAGAAGAAATTGTTATACAAGCGCTTGTCCTAGGGAAATAAAACTGATGTTGCTAATAGGGAATTGATCATGGCTATTATTCGTTAGCAGCCATCTGAACATTTATACTATTGGCTACCCAGGCTCACACTATTCTAACCCAATAGGAAAAACAGCACAAAAGTGATGTACACTTGTAATAAATGTTTCCAGATATACCACCCCTGGGGACCGTGCATCGTTCATGCGCTGCAGTGCCCCAAGCACCCACATCCTGCCCCACAACTGAGCTCTGAGATGGGACTAAACCAAAGGAAATTGGGATTTTGGCCACTGATGCTTCTGACTAAACCCAGGAATGCCTGTTCCTGTGCCAAAGGAACTGCACAGCCATCAGCCTGCTGCAGCACTGCTGGGGCATCTCAAAGAAGCATGTGGGCCTGTGCCTCACCCCTGGAGCCCCCTGGGCACATTTGTGAGCCACAGAGATGAGGCTGCAATGGTCATAAGGAAAGAGAAGAAGAAAGTCACAGAAGAATGGGGGAAGATGTAGGAGATGGTGGGAGGAGGAAGCCAGAGGGATCAAATGGGTAACTTTCATCCAAATTGGGAGCTACGAGGCAGGGACCCAAGAGATGTGGAATAGAGACCCCATCACCTGTGACTTCCTTTCTCAGCTGAAAAGAAAAAGAATAGAGAAATAGCTGGGTTTTAGCTGTGTGTCTAGATATGAAGCCACGTTACATTTTTGGATGGCACCACACAAGTTCTTCCAGTTTTCTCCAAGCCTGCAGGTTCCCCTGCCCCAGGACCACCAGTGGCCAGTTTTGTTGGTTTTGCATGGGTTAAATTTTGGTGAGGAGGGAAGAAGCCAGCCATGGGAATGCTATTTCTGCTAAAAGGAGCTGCTAAAAGCTTTCTCCATGCCTGGCAAAACCAATCACTGGCTGGCTCTGAGAACAGGCCCATTGCTAAGCCAATTAGAAAAGCTGGAAACACTTTGATGACAACAGATTTAAGAGAGGAAAGAAACGTGGGAAGCTCTCTTTCTTTCTGCCCTCCGAGGGGTGGTGAGGGGGCACCGAACCCCTTCCCAGCAGGCCAGCTGTGGTGGTTTGGCATTTTAGAGAAAAAAGCAGAAAACACCCACAGAAGTGATTTCTCTGAGAGCGGCTGCTGGGAGTTTCTCTCTGCTTGAGATCAGGCCAATGGCTGGCCAGTTCTGAGAACTGACAGCATTTTGCAGCACTGAAAAGTGAGATCACCTTTGTCAATAGCACCTTTTAAAAGCTCCAGCTGGGGAAGTTGTCTCTTTTTGTTTGCAGCCTGGAAAGGTATTGGAGCTGTGGTGTGGCTGGCCCCGCTCCCTGCGGCCTGTGTGGCCTGGGGGGGCTGGGCTGGAGCCCAGTGGCTCTGGGCTGGGGGGATGGAGACTGCGGGACTTCCCCCGGCCCCAGGCCAGGCCGGGCTCTGCTGTGGCCCCTCCCGGGAAGCCCTCCCAGTCCCATTCCAGTGGGGTGGCTGAAGCCCTCCCCAGGGGGACCCCGGCCCTAAGCTGGGCCGGGCCACGGCTGCTGACATCTCGCCCATCCCCGCCATGGCCTGCACAGACGGCTCTAAGCTGGAAACCGTCCCCTGCCTTCCAGGGGCTGCTGAGCTGAAATCCCACACCAGGAATGCCTGCCACACCTTGGGCCACATTTAACCCTTTCACTACACAGATGAGACCTGCAGCCTTCATCCCCTCTCCAGAGAGCGCAAAGTGGGAGTGATCGACACGCAAAAGACAACATCAAACATCAAGGTCAGTACGAGGAAGAGTCAAGCCTCAGGTGGAAGGAGAATGAGGAGATGCTTTAATGAGCTGAAATAGTCTTTTGCTAGGGCCATGGAGATGGACAATAACGTTCTGAAAAATAACTCCTTTCATTAATGAAAGAGTATTGGGGGGAATGAAGGATTCAAAGTGTAAATCTGAGCAAAGGTATCCATTGATGAAGCCAAGCAGGTGGTGGAGTGTCTGTGATCCCATGAGATGCGTGAACAGAGAGAGAGAGAGATGAGAGCTGATGAAGATCCTTTGTCCCCAGGGAGAGAAGAAGAAAACTTCTGTCCCCAGAGATGATCACAGAGACAGATGAAGAGAGTAACTCTTGAATAACTCATCCTTAAAATAATACCCCTTGAGTTCATGGCCCATGAAGGCACCTCAGAGTGGTGTGGAAATGGGAGGAAGGCATGGAGGCAGAGTTTTGCCCTG